CTACACAAGTCTGACTGTTCAGGTGGAACTTTGACCCACTCCTCTCCTTGCCTAATGTTCTCAAGGATGCAAACCTGTCTGATTTGTGTCTTCTGCCTGAGCCATCCATGACTTCCCTTTTATTAGCCGCTGACCCTCAACTGCGCACAGAGCATTCACGCAAAGGCTGGTCTGTGTCTGCATTTACCTTGAGATATTACTTCGCCTGCAGCACCCAGTGCCTACCTGCAACAGTCGGCAAACCAAGGATGTATCGCATACACACCACTGGGGTGTCTCTGGTGTAACCCAAAACGACCCGCATAGCTGCGGTCTGTATGCGCTCTAGTTTGTCCATCTGACTCTTTGAGACGGTGAGCAGTCCCAGGCCATAATCAGCCACTGACAGATCAGGGGCTGATATAGTGTGAAAAGCATTCTCTGCTCTATGTCAAGTGCAGCCATAGTCTTAAGCGCACTAAGTCCTTTTTGGCATCTCGTCACAACACTCTCCACATGGTCCTTAAAGGACAGGTTCCTGTCAAATATAATTCCCAGATACTTCAGTTTGCTCTCTCTGTTGACGTTTCTACCATCTATCGTGAGGCTTGGGACATTAGCTCTAACAATTCTGTTGTCTAGAGAACACCATAAAACAGACGCCTTTTCCAGGTTGATGACAGACCTCATTTCTGTACACCACTCAGTCACTTTATCTACTGTCGCTTGCAGCTCCCGGTCTGTTTGTTCCCTCTCTCCCCCCTGCCTTTATGTAAGTATATCATCCGCAGAAATCAGTATCCTTCCAACTCCTGGTGCTTCTAGGCTTGCAATCTTGCTCGTATACACGTTGAAGAGCACAGGCGAGATGGCGGATCCATGCGGCAGTCCTAGGGCCAAAGTGCATAGTTCTGAGGCATGAGCCCAGTCGGAAAGCAAACCAACGTGAATACAGGACAGGTGCAACCCAATTTACCGGCCATGGACTGACCTCCTTCAGTGCAGTCATCAAGAGGTCGTATTTTACTCTGTTATAAGCATCCCTGAGATCCAGTGTTACCGCCATAGTTTCCTGTCTGTTATGGAACCCTCCATAGACGTCAGAAGCAAAAGTGGCCGCATTTGCCCATGTGTCCTTTCCTGGCCTGTAGCTTCCGAGACTTCTTGGGGGAAGCTTCCCCCTTTCCAAAAATTCTTGCAGCTGTACAGCAATTATCTTCTCAAAGACCTTTCCAAATTTGTTTTGTAAAGTGATGATTCTAAAGCCACTGAGCGTTGAATGATCCTTAGAAGGTTTCGGCAGTGGAATTCGATAACTGTGCACCCAGTCCTGCGGTACTGATGCTGTCTTAATGCTCTGGTTAAAGCAATCTCTCCCAGCTCTACATCGCTCAAAGCCTTCATGTGGAATAAGTCTAATGTCCCAAGGTGGACGAACACCCATAACTTTCCGTAGTAGTGAACTTAGGTGAACCAGGAGAAGAAGAAAAAGTAAAGAAATTTTGTGCGACGCGCTCAGATTATGAGGTTCACTTGGTAAATGTACAGCCGCTCTGGAGTGAGTGAGTGAATAAGAGAGAGAGAGAGAGAGAGAGAGAGAGAGAGAGAGAGAGAGAGACGCCGAGCCAAACTGGATGAAACGATGCAATGAAATCGATCGAAGCGTCTCTAAATGCCTTTTTCAATAAACACATTGTTTTATGTGATTTTGTGATCCGTATTTTTTATGGAAGTGCTAGAATTCACAATTTACATTTAACCATAAACAAAATGGCAACTAAACTATATTTGCCACGTCAAGTTTTCACCTGAGATATTCATGTTTTTGTATGTTTTAATTAAGTCTTATGTCCATCGTTTAATGCACAGCAGCAGTAATCATTAGCTTTATTTGAATTCACAGTTCTATGAGCTGTGTGTATAAAATGAACCTTGAAAACGCATATTACATTACCACCAACTAAAAAAATTAATTGCCTTCGAATGATATGGCGGATGTTGTTATGAAATAAAAGAACGAAGATCAGTGAGCTTATTGTTATATTGTAAATCACTATAAATGGAATGAAATGGACGAACTGTTGTATGCGTTTTGAATGTAATATATCCTTCCTTCATATATTCATATATTTTATAAATCTCAAAAGTGTTTGTAATGTAGTCTTAATCTGTCGAATCCATAATAATTCATTTCTTCGCGTTCACGGGCTGTGTTATTAAACTAAAAAGTTCTGGTTGTTCATAATCATCCACCACTGGACTTTACAGAATGTGTTGTGCACATCTGCTTTACAGATCGAACTTATTTGTATGCAGACTATTGGTTCCTTGCCTCTCGAGCAGATGTACTCCGACTCTATTTGTTGGCTCTTTCTAGCCTTTTTAGGCAACTTTCTTACGTTCAGTAGTTAGTAGTTAGCTATTGCTAGCTTCTTGAAATCAATGCAAAGCAGTCTGGTGCCAAATAACAGGCTTCTTCTTCTTGTTAAGGTTCATGCCATTAGGTATTAGTAGTCATGTCTACCAACAACCTTTTATCTCCTTTACATTCCACACAGATGATCCTCCACTTTATGATGTCAAACTGTCCAGCATCTTTTCTCTCGGTCTCCCTCTGCCTGTTCTCCTCTCCAACTATCCAACTTTTATGATGTACTTCAGTTTTTTTCTCATCACATGTTCAAAGAATGTAGATCTTTTTCTGATGTGGACAGCAGTCAGTTCTCTTCGTGATTCAGATTCTTTCAAGATATCCTCATTGCTGTTTTTATCTGTCTAGGGCATTCTTATCATCCGTCTATCAAACCACATCTCTGCAGATCCAAATAATTTTTCACGAATCAACCAAATGTCCATGATTCACTTCCATATATCAAGATAGATTTATATAGCTTTTAAGAGTTCTCTTTCTCGTCTCAATTGAAAAAGAAGGATTACATAAAATATTCTTCATTTTGTAAAGTGCTGCCTTTGCTTGAGCTATTCTGCATTAAAACTTCTGGCTCTCCTCCAAACTTCTACCCCATATTATGGCGGCCAAACAAATACCCTAACAGGGCCTCAGTCCTCTGCAGAATGCGGACTTCCTGCCGAGGAACAAATCGCGGCAAAACTAGGATTGGCTCTGAATAACAAAACAAATACTCTAACAGGGTCTCAGCAATATGTTAATTGCTGACCTGTTTCTGCGACTATTCCTCACCGCCGATGGGAGCCTAAACTAGATGGCTGGGACTCACGAGCAGCAGCTACCGCATCTCCTGCAACTTCCTTCAGTTGATTTGCTCATGAGTCCCAGGCATCTAGTTTAGATCCATGCCGCGTGTAGCGGCGTGGGGAATTCTGTCGGTGGTGAGTTTAACCACACTTTGTGCATGCCGAAAAGTGTGAGGACAACAACGACGCTAATCTGCGCCGGAGCGCGTGGTCTCCCTGCCATGTCGCTATTATCATCTGTAATGTTGCGTGTCTCGAAATTGTCAATGGTCGCTAGTATCGTTTGCTAGTATCATCTGCAGAAATGCTTGAAATTGTCAACGGTCGCTATTATCGTCTGCTACTAACGTCTGCAGTGTTGCGTGTCTTGAAATTGTCAACTAATCCTAGTTTTGCCGCGATGTGTTCGTCGCAGGAAGTCCGCATTTTACACACGACTGAAGCCCTATTAGGGTATTTGTTTGACCACCACAATATGGGGTAAAAATTCAGAGGAGAGCCAAACCTCTGTATACTTCTTCAATCTGATGTTATCAAGGTACCTAAGTATTTAAACATATCAACTTGCTTGATGTTTGAGCCAGTTACTTTGATGTTGTGTTTTGGAGGGTCAGTTTTCTGACTAAACGTAAATTCCTGTGTGGGTTAGGAGACTTTATTTTTTGGGAATGGAGAAAAAACAGACCCACTGTCCCCTAACAGGCATGTTATAAAAAGCTATAATTAGGAGTGTTTTCTTTAAGTCAGAGAGGCAAGGAACCAACAGTCTGTGATAAAAATAAGCCAGTTCTGTAAAATGGGTGTGCATGCGAAACTCAAGTTATGGGGCAAGACCAGACTCCAGAAGTGGGCAGACAATCAGAGCTTTCTGCCAGAGTTTAAGCTGATGACACGTCTACCACAGAGTGCCAGTTGGTCAATAGAAATATGTCTACCATCATATGCCATATACATAACTGACATCAAAAGGGTAATTTACTGTTACTTTTTTTATAATCCAGACCTATGTTTTCCTGTGTTTAATGTTTAGTTAAGAACTGGTTGATGCAAATAATTTAATCAATGTGTTGCTTCTTTGAGAAATGCACATAGAGCAGTAGCTTTTCAGCATTAGTGAAAATCTTTTTTTTTTTAAAGAGGGTGTCATCAAGATCCTTAACTCGCATGCAGATCCGCATGAAGCAGTCATATTTTTTTTTTAAAACATGGCCTTGGCTCCCAGATCAGCCCAGCCTTAAATCGGTACCAGGCAAAGTCCTGGGAAGTAAGGGCAGGTAGCATTATGTTGACTAGATCACTCACTGAATGCCGATTGGTCTATAACAAAATGTTCAATGCCCAACTGCCGAAAATTTGGTCATTTACTTACCTGTTTTTTTTTTTTAGAACATGAACCTGTGTTTCGCTATTTAAAATTCAAATCATTTGGAGGGCAAATATGAATTTTTGTTTTAAAATTTTATCCTTCATTTTTAAACAGTTGTATTAAAATGTGTCCCCACCTCCCTGCCAGTCGTAATGTTTGTTATAATTTGTTGCTGAGGGTTTTGTCGCTGCATTGTCCACTTTGTCATTTATAATTGTATTTGTGGTCTGTGTAAAACTACCTTTTTCTAATTTAGTGTTTTTTAAATTTGTTTTTGTAAAGACAGTAACAGATTTTAGAAAATATGTATGTGCAATTTATTTACACAAAGCATATTTGATAATTTTACATTGACTATTGCTGATCTGCTTTTTTTTGTAGTTGAACCTCTCCAAGATGAAATGACCATGTTGAGTGACCTAAATTGACCCACCATTACATGCCAAGAAGGGCATCAGCTGTGTACTTTTTCACAATGCTGACCAATCCACCGCGGATTATTGCATTATGTTCCGTTGCCAACTTTATCAACTCTGCCGATCGGGTGATCATGCCCATTGCCATAGTTCCTATGGCTCAACAGTTTAAGTGGGATTTACATCAGCAAGGATGGGTCCTGAGTGCATTCGCTGTGGGCTATATGAGCAGCCAGGTAGGTGTTTGTAGTTTAACTTGTGTTGTCTTCTTCTTCTTCTTTGCATTCACCAGCTGTAAACTCTGGTGGAGAAGTTCTGGTTGTTTGTCCACTTCTGGACTGCAGTCCTGTACCAGAACCTGAGTGTTGCGTGTGCATCCGTTTGACAGATCTGACACATTTGTGTGCAGACTGTTGGTTCCTTGCCTTTCAGGCAGATGCACTCCGACTTCGAAGAAAGCTCCAAATTAGGCGACTCTTGTGACATGCTTTTGTGTTGGCAGTGGGTCTATTCTTGTTTTCCCTATAATAGGGCTCCGGAACCCACACGGGGGACTTGTGTTGTCTTTTTGATCTTGCATTTAATTGGTGCCTTCACATAATAGAGCAAATTAAATGGTATGAAAGTTTAAGTTGAGAGGTTCAACCTCATTGCCACTTGTTCCTGTCAAGTCAGAGAGCATCTGCCTAAAAGACAAGAAACCAATACTATGCATACAAATAAGCCAGATCTGTAAAACAGATCCGCACAGAGAACTCAAATTTTGGAAAAAGACTGAACAACCAGAACTTTCCATCAGTGTACAGCTGGTGAATACAAAGAAGAAGAAGGGGAAGATTATCTTAAATGGCAGAAAGCTTGATGAGTGAGAAAAAGAGTAGCCTAATGGCGCCTACCTCGCAAAAGTTTAAGGTAAAAATCCACCCAGAGTATTTCAGGATCCTCGTCGGTGCTGCAGAGTTCGTTCACTGTGCTAAGATTCTTCAGACTCAGGCTTGAGCTAGAAGTAGAACAGAGCCATGAAGTTGATCTGTCGACTAAACTAAAACTAAACATCCTCACTGCTTAATAAGCTGATTGTAGGCAGGCCCAGTCAAGCCTCAGGTAGGATTTGAAACCATGCCTGGGGTAAGGTTTACCTGAAAGATTATAATTTTTACCTCATCCTCAGAAGCAACTGAGTTTTGAGTGCAGAAACAGCCAAGTATTTTTACCACACACACAAAAACATTTTTTTTTTTTACAGACATCACATTTTCTTCTTTATTTATTAAATTGAACCCATGTCTTTTTGAGCTCAAGGCAAATTGAGACCCATTATACACATTGCTGATCTATTTAGTTTATATGTGTAGTCTGTTCTCTAAAAGCTGACAACCTCTGAATAGTTGTTCACTAATATTCCTTCAAAACTTTGTGTAAAAGTTTTATCACCTAAAGAGACCAGTGTCTTGTCACAGGAATAAATGGATCCTATTCCGTGCCTTCAGATGTTTTGGCATATAGTGCTAGACTTATAGTTTATAGACGAATTGGTACTTGATGGTGATATGGTCATGTCAGCTGCATTTGCTTCCTAGGACTTTACCTGGTACCAGTTTGTGGCTGGCTTGACCTGGGAGCTAAGGTCTGTGTGGATTTGAATCCGTGACCTAAGCAACCGTAGGTGAGGATCTAACCTTCACACCATGTAGGCTCCTCAAATGAATAAAGGCAGACCAAAAACACATAGAGAAGAGAATTCGAGAATGACATGAAAAATTAGAGATGGACATGGATGAACAGGCATGATAGCAAACGACAGGGCCACTTGGCCTGTGTTAGTGTGCTCCATTTGGGGATAATGGAAAGAAGAAGAAAGAGTTAAGTTGAATCGAGTTGAGTCAAGAATTGGCATCACAGCACTCGGCACATTCCCATGCCTGCTCCTTCCTCATCTTCAGCAGCCAGCACAGAGTTCCAATACTGATGGTACCGGTCACTTTCTGGTTAAAAGTCCGTCTTGCCTTTCCTTTGAGTGTAGTTAGCGGGCCAGACCCTCTGGAAAGAGAGAAGGAGAAGTTCTTTCAGCTGATGTTCAAGGCTATTGTTTTTAGATATCCATTTCCTTGTTTTCGTTCCGGGGCCCTTTTTTTTAGGGAAATAAAAGAATAGACCCACTGCCTCCTTACTCTAATAAGCATGCTGTACAAGGTGACTGATTAGGGATGTGTCCTTGGAAGTCAGAGTGCATCTGCCTGAGAAGCAGGGAACCAACAGTCTGCATATAAACAAGCTAGATATGTAAAATTGATGTGCATGGAAAACTCAGGTTCTGATTTCAAAGTTGTAAGTGGCCGAACAACCAGAATTGTACACTGGAGTTCACAGCTGGTGAACGCTAAGAAGAAGAAGAAGGACATCTGATAGTAGGCAGCGACCTTCCTTCGTCATTGTCTTCTACTCCGTTCCTGTGTAACAGCAGATTATATTGTTTTTTTCTTTGACATTTTTTAGTACATCATTCTACTTTATTTCTGATCTAAATGTTCCAGGTTGTTGGAGGAAGTGCAGCTAAAAAGTACGGAGGCAAAAAAATTCTGAGCCTAGCAGTTATTCTGTGGTCATTATCAACATGTCTGGTACCCTTGTTTGCTCACTCGCTGTACACACTAATTTTATCACGGGTCATTCTTGGCCTGGGAGAAGGTCTAGGTAAGTTAATAAGAAAGTTTATTCTTCTTCCGTCTTTTATCGCACAATAAATGTAAGCTTTTAGCTTTTTCATACCTATTCCCTATATAAGCTTCTTTATGATTCTTTGCATTCTGTAACTAATCTTATGTGGGATGAATTAACCAACCACATGCTAAACCACCATAAGCCTTTCACCCTGTAAAAGACTTTAAAAATTTTAAAATGTCCTTATAATGCTATGAAACTACCACAAGAAACTTGACATTGGAGTCTTTGTCATTTTCTAAAACTATCCAGGGTTTAGATCATGAGACAGCCGAGCCGCCCAGGCAGGTGTTAATTTCTCTGATTCTTTAATCAAGTCACGTGACTAAAAATGTAACAAACACATTTTTTTAGTTAGTCGCATATACCTTTACAGGAGGTTGCAGAAACAACCCTCAGCATTTTTGTGATGTTGTGGTTTTGCTGGGTAAATTTTATCTTCAGCTGTTTGCCATTGCTGCTGCACCATCATCTCTCAGTACCACTGTCGAAACCAATGCAAGAAGGATCGAACCTGGCAGTCCGGCATTACGAAGTGCGTTTTCAATGCCTAAGCCACAGACACTGAATTTCTGAATCGGGAAAAGGTTTATTTGTGCGTAAAGGGAAGTAATCACTAAGCACAAATAGAGCAGAGAGTTAACCTTTTCCCCGTTGACCATCACCATCAATAAGTGGTTTTGTTCACTTCACTACAGATAGCAGCAACATTACACATTTATGAAATCATATAGTGGGCTAATAAGACAGCCAGATTTACTGTGTGAACATGTACCTTTTTTATGCAATGTATCTTCTTCTTCTTGGTAGAAAGTTTTGCTTGTTTGTAAACTTCTGGATCTTGAAACATTTTGGGCACATGGCAATGGCCTCATATTTTTGTAGTGAGTTATGTGGGTCTATCTTTACCTCCTAGAACATTTCCATGTTACCCATGTTAGAGTGGTTTTGGATTTACTTACACTGCCGGTAAACAGTGGTGGCGGGCAGTTGGAAGTATTCAAAAGCGCTTCATTTTTACATCGGAGACTGAAGTATGGTGTAGACGACCTCACCTTTATCATGCAGTATACGTTGGACAAATGAAGCTCATCAGCTGGGGACAGTAATCACTTTAACGAAGCTCATCCTAACAGAAAAGAATGCTAAAGTTGGAGGTGCTGGGCTAAGAGGCACAGATAGTCCAGAAAGGTGTCACAGCTCAACCTGACTACTGTGGCACCACGCAAGTCCTTCCTGTAATGCCGGTGACCACTACAGAATACTCAACCTGTGCTACAGACATGCTTTCTTCATGCAGTAGAAACATCCCTCTCTTTTTGGGTTCCCGGGCCCCTTGTGATGAAAACAAGAATAGGCCGACTGCCTCCCCAACAAGCATGTCGTAAGAGTTCATAAGAGTCAACTAATCAGGGAACTTCCTTTAAAGTCAGTGTGCATCTGTCTGAGAGGTAAGGAACCAGCAGTCTGCATTCAAATAGGCAAGAAATGTAAAATTGATGCGCACACATCATTAAGGTTCTGGTACAAGACTCCAGAGTTTATAACAGAAACTAGATTTTTACCCCTGGATTTGAGGTTCAAGTCAACAGAGCAGGGCTTTATATAAATAAAAATAAAAAAAAAATAACTCTGACTCCCAGATTGACCAAGCCTTAAATGGGTAGAGGTAAGGTCATAGAAATTAAAGGCGGCCGGCATGATGTTGACTACATTGCCCACCGAGGGCTAATTGGTCAATGAAATAAAGATCTAGCCCTATGTGCCCACTACACCTGAAGGTGTGGAAAAGGGTCCTTTTTTCAAATTGTCCTTGCCTTTACTTCTCCAAGCAAAGACTGTGGATCTGGCCCAAGTGAGCTACATTGCAAGAGAAGCTATGTGGCACTGGTAGTGACCTTAAACGCACAAACCTATTTGTAACCCAGACGGGACTCAATGTTTTTGAACAAATAATAATAATAAGAAAATTTATTTTATTTTATACATACTATGTATATTTATTCTCATTTATGTAAAGATCATCATGCATCTGCTAAACCTGGAATGACTTGTTCATATTCTGTTTTAGGTCTGCCCACAATCTTTCACATATTTTCTCATGCAATTCCTTGTGAGGAGCGGTCACGGGCCTTTGGTTACCTTGTTGCTTTGGGCTCAGTAGGACAGACAGTCGCCTCTTTGGTAAGTGAAGCCTGTCAGTGCATGAAAGAAACCCGTGTGGGTTCTAGGGCCCTGTTATAGGGAAAACAAGAAAAGACCCACTGCCTACCCAAAAGCATGTCATAAGAGTCAACTAACTGGGAGCTTCCTTTAAAATTGAAGTGCATCTGTCTGAGAGGCAAGGTACCAGCAGTTTGCATACAAATGTAAAATGGATGCACATGCAACACTCAGGTTCTGGAACAGGACTGCAGTCCAGAAGTGGATAAACAACCAGAACTTTCCGCCAGAGTTTACAGCTGGTGAATGTGAAGAAGAAGAAGGAAGAAATCTTAAATAATACCTCATAATACATCATATTTTTTTATATTTTTTGTCATCCCTTTCTCCTCCCTCTCTTCTTCTTTAGCATTCCGAGCCCTTGAGGTTTATCGCTGCAGATATACCTGCTTTTATTCATCTCTGTTATCCTTCTTCTTCATCTCGTTCACTAGCTGTAAACTTCTGCTAAATTTCTGGTTGTTCTTCAACTTCTGAACTTTGTGGTTTTGCTCCAAAACTTGAGGTTTGTGTGCACATCTGTTTTATAGATCTGGTTTATTTGTATGCAGAATATTGGTCCCTTACCTCTTGTGTATGTGCTCTCCAACTTAGAAGAAAACACCCCTGATTAGTAGACTTGTATGACATACTAATTAGGGTGCTGTGCGTCTGTCTTTTTTTCCACCCAGCAATGGTGTCTCGGAACCCACATGGGGAGAAACGTATTTAAACAAGCATATAGTTGCCTACCATATATATCAGATATAAATATTTATACAAGCATATTGCTACTTATGAGATATCTTCAGATGTAAATATTTATACAAGCACATTGTTACCTACGATATATCTTCAGACATAAATATTTAAACAAGCATATTGTTCTCTACAATATATCTTCATATATAAATGTTTAAACAAACATATGATTACCTACAATATATCTTCATATATAAATGTTTATACAAACATATGATTACCTACAATATATCTTTGGGTATGAATTTTTAAACAAGCATATTGTTCTCTACAATATATCTTCATATATAAATGTTTATACAAACATATGATTACCCACAATATATCTTTGGATATAAATATTTAAACAGGCATATTATTACCTACAGAACATCTTCAGATATAAATATTTAAACAAGCATATTGCTACTCATGGTCCTCAAGTACAAGGGTTTGTTTCCCCAAGGTGGACAGTGTAAAGAAAAATTTCTTGTGGTTTTCGCACAATGATGTGAGCGTCACGCCTTGGAAGAGATTGGGGCATAACCATGTATAGTCGCAAAGAGAACAATGGTACGCTAGCCAGCCTTCGCTGTGCATGTATAGTCGCAAAGACAACAATGGTACGCTAGCCAGCCTTCTCTGTGCATGTATAGTGGCAAAGACAACAATGGTACGCTAGCCAGCCTTCGCTGTGCATGTATAGTCGCAAAGAGAACAATGGTACGCTAGCCAGCCTTCGCTGTGCATGTATAGTCGCAAAGACAACAATGGTACGCTAGCCAGCCTTCGCTGTGCATGTATAGTCGCAAAGAGAACAATGGTACGCTAGCCAGCCTTCGCTGTGCATGTATAGTCGCAAAGAGAACAATGGTACGCTAGCCAGCCTTCGCTGTGCATGTATAGTCGCAGAGACAACAATGGTGCGCTAGCCAGCCTTCTCTGTGCATGTATAGTCGCAAAGAGAACAATGGTACGCTAGCCAGCCTTCGCTGTGCATGTATAGTCGCAAAGACAACAATGGTGCGCTAGCCAGCCTTCGCTGAGCATGTAGCACACTAAGATTTGAATTTTGAATTGTTACCTCTGTTCTGTCTTCAGGGAGAAACATTTAAACTAGCGTATAAAAAAAAGTAAGTAAAGATCCCTTTTCACGCCTTTCGGCGCATCGGGCATACGGGCAGAGTGTCCCATATTTTTACAGACCATCAGCACTCTGTGGGTAATGTGGTCAGCATTACGCCGGCTGTCTTTACTTCCCCAGGACAGCCCATCCTGGTACCCATTTTAGGCTGGGTCGACCTGCGACGTCCAATACCACGACAAAAGTCCACGCAGCCTGCAGTGGGTTTCGATCGCAGTATGCTGGCTTACGAGTCGGACTCGCAACGCCTTAGCCACTGACGCCGCAAACTAGCGCATAGTTACCTGTAAATGGCACCAGTATTGAGAAACAAACATGTATCAATAGAAACCATTCTATGATACAGTATACTTACCAACCTTGTGATATCAAGGCCGGACTTAGACAATGACAGGAATAGAAAAAAAGATTTCATTAGAAGACAACAGGTGAAATGGTTTGGCCATATAACGCAGAAATCAGCAGACAGTATGCCACAGCCTTAGAGAATAAACATTTAAACAGGTATATGGTTTACCTGTGACGGCGTCCGTAGCTTAGGTTTTGCGAGTCCGACTCTTAATTCCAACGTACTGCGATCGAAGCCCACTGCTGGCTGCGTGGATTTTTTTCATGGTATGGGTTGTTGCAGGTCAGCCCAGCCTAAAATGGGTACCAGGATGTATATCCGGGGAAAGTAAAGACGATCAGCATAATGCTAACCACATGACCCACCTAGTGCCAATTGGTCTGTAAAAATATTGGTGCTGTTCCAGTATGCCTGATGTGCCTAAAGGCGTGGAAAGGGATCTTTAATTATTGTAACTTTATGGTTACCTGTGATATATCTTCATTTCAGGTGTGTCCCCATCTTCCCTGGCAATGGATGTTTTATTTATTTGGTCTGATGGGGTTTGTTTGGGTTGGTGTTTGGTATACAATGTATGCAGAATCCCGAGGAAGTTTGGAGGAAGATTTTGTTGATCCTCCCAAGGTAACAATTACTTTCCTTCTTGAGACTGTATTTTAAATAACTGTTGGCACTTTTCTGAGATGATAGTATTATATTGTGCTGTAAGGAAGTATGGAAAACACGGCTCATGGTTAAGAAAAGACTTTCAGACTCAATGAGCATGCTCAAGAAGATAAACTGGCAAGCTGTTGACTAGAATGGATTAACAGCACCCATAAATCGTGCCACAGGAAACTAAACTGGCTGAAGTAGTTAGTGGAGGAAGAAGTATGGACAGGGCAGACATACTGAATGCACTGCGTTACAGGGACCTTGAAGCAGAGGAGTTAGAGACAGTGAACCGCCTGTTGGAGGTGGGTGTTAAATGATGACAAGCATGCAGAAATCGGGTATGGAAAGAAGAAATACCAGTCACCCCTACTGTGTATAATGAGCATGGAGACACTGAGAGGGCTGCTGGGATGGGAGGACGTAGCATGAATGGGTCAAGCAGATTTGAGGAATTGACTCACCGACCCCTAACAAGCCTATTATAAAAGGAGACTTATTAGGGTTGTTTCCTTTGAAGTCTGAGTGCATCTGTTTCAGAGGCAAGGAACCAGCAGTCTGCACACAAATAAGCCAAATCTGTAAAGTGGATGTGCAAACAAAACTCAAGTTCTGGAATAAGACCACTAGAAGTGGGTGGGAGGGGGAAGAGGAGGGGGGGAAGAGGGAGAACAACCAAACTTTTCCTTTGAGTTTACAGCCGGTAAACATGAAGAAGATAGCTCCCAGATGATTTAAAGACCAACCAGACACAAACATTACTACATCATATGTAATAATATATTAAAAAACAAAATCATTCATTTGAGCTTTGAGCTTTTAGTAGTTCCTGACAGATGTCAGTATAGAAAGTTATGAACAAGTTGACTTACTGGCAAGTGAAGTACTTTTACAGGCAAGAGGAAGCATGGACATAACGATCTTCACTGTGTGTTTTTTGTGTGTGTGGACTTCTTCTTTTCTGTACACCTGGAAGGCCTCGCAGCGTCAGGGCGGGAAGATATCTCTGTAACGGGCCCTTCTGTTCGCATATAGTACTTTTTCAGTGTCTGTGATATTTCTGCGGTCCATGTTTGTGTACTGACTTGATTCAATGTTCTGTTTCCAACCATAATGACAAAATGTCTCATTTGTAGGTGAGCAACTCCAATGTTCGGTGGCTGGAATTTTTCACCCACTGGCCGCTGTGGTCCATCTACATAGCTCACTTCAGCATGAACTGGTCAAACTACATCATCATGCAGTGGCTGCCCACGTATTTATCATCCACTCTAGGAGCCAACCAGTCACACATGATGTCCACTGCTGTGCCTTATATTATGAACTCTCTTGTTAGTGTTGGTAAGTGTGTGTTTTTGTCATACTCACACATTTGTTCCAGTCATGGACCCTTGTGAAACTGTTTACACAAGGGAGATAAATGGTCGTAGACCATGAGCCAGACCAACAAAAAGATGGGAGAGATAATGTCCAGACAGACCTGCAAACACTTGGTGTCACCAACTGGAAAGAGAAGGCCAACCAGAGAGATGAATGGAGGCGTGTGATGTCTGCAGCAAAGAACCCCAAGGGCTCGGAATGCTGAAGAAGATGTACCCTTGTGGAGCCGCCGTGGTGTAGTGGCTAGATGCTTGCCTGTGGATCTGAAAGTCCTTAATACACATCTGAATTGATCCTGACCTTTAAGAAAACATAATTATTTTGGCTTCCAAACCGATTCAGTCTTAAATGGGTAATAGGTGAAGTCCTGGGAAGTAAAGGCGGCTGGTGTGATGTTGATCACATCACCCACCGAGTTCTTATTGATCTATAAAATAAAAGTCTAGCACTATATACTCAACATGCCTGAAGCTACGGAAAAGGATTCTTGTTTTTGAAAACAAATTGTGTGTGCTGTATACTTGAGGCATTTAAACAAAAAGACGAGACAAAAAAGTGAGCCTCTAGACTTTCAGCCAAAAGGATTGGGCCTTGTGGATCATGATTCCTAAACATTTTCCTGTGTGTTTTTTTAACCTAAAATGTCAGGTCATCTAACGGATGGGTACACTTTGATTCAAGTGTTTTCCTTGAATATACATTACATATAAATAATATACATACAAGAGAGAGGGGAAGGTCTAAAGTTTTGAATACTACCTCTAGATCGCAGTTGCCGAACCAGCCATGCGAGTGCGCATGCTCATACCACCAAGAACCTTTCAGATACTTTTTGTGTGTAGGATGAATTCAGCTACCGCTTAGATGTTTTCAGAGCAGAATGCGGCGGTCATATTGAATACTTATAACCTCTATTGTAAGTTTGTAAACTTCAGACTTTGCTCTCTCACTTTCTTTCTCTTTCTCTCACTGTCTGTCTCTTTCTTTCTCTTGTCTGTATATTATTAATATGTAACATATATTCAAGAAAATATACGTGATTGAAAGTGTATCCATCATTTTGAATAATCCTGTAGATTGTTTGACATCAATAATGAATATAACTTGTTTTCCAGTGGCAGCCCATTTTGCTGATGCGTTGATAGCACACAAGTGGACTGTGTTGTCTGTTCGTCGCCTGATGACTTCAGTTGGGTTACTGGGGCCGGGCCTCTTTATCTTGTTCTTCAGTGCTGTGTACAATTTACCACTTGCTGTTTTGTAAGTATAAATGTATCTCTTAGTAAATTCATGGGATTCTCTTCTTCTTCTTCTTCTTCTTCTTGTGTTTGCTTTCTGATTTACACCGACCGACAAGTTCTTGTGATAAACCTGACTGTTTTAAGGAGTTATCTTATAGTTCCATATAACTTTGAGTGCACTGTTGACTCAGTGGACCAGTATTCTCTTCTTAATGGGCTGAGGCATAGAATAATGACCTGTCCATGCTGGTCAAGTAAGTGGTAGTCATCACTGACCAGATTCTGTTCACTTCTGATCGACTGGATGGCTCTTGTCTTCTCAAAGTATGTTGCTGCATACTCTTCCTGTTCACATTCTGCCCCTTTGTTTCAGCAAGTTTGTTCAGGTTTGTTCATGTGATGAATTTAACAGGAGTGAAGAAATAAGATAAATGTCCGTGCGAAACCACTAGTATCAAACACTTATAAGAGAGAGAAGATGGCGCTGTATTGGACATAGTCTGAGAAGAGACAAACATAATTGCTAAACAGACACTGAAGTGGGAAAGAGAGCAATTGAGGAAACAAGGGCGTCCAAGAGAAACCCCCGAAGTGAATGTTGATAAGAGAAGCCAAAGGTGCTGGATGGGATTCCATCCATGATATCGAAGTGATTACACAGGATAGAACAAAATGGAGAAATAGACAGCGGGTCCCATATGACATATAATTGCACAAAAGGGCAATGAATGAAAAATGGTCAGTGAGCCCTAGAGTGAGGCGTATACTTCAAATAACTTGTTTGCTGGATGTCATCATGCACAACATAACAGTCTGAATTCTCCCTCATGCCTGTGATCAGAATCACTGTACCACATGGTATTGCTTCTTTTTTTTCTCTTCATTGATCATATGATTGATGCAGTTGCTAGGTTGTTTCTATTTTCTTCTTCCACGACTGGAATTTTACATGCACATCCATTTTATAAATCTGATCTTTTGTTTAAAAAAAAAGAATTTTAATGCAGACTGTTTAGAGCGTAGCTGTTAAGAGCAAAGCTGTGTTATATGTGCCTTTTGACCGACACATCCAACTTCTTAGGGCATTTGTTTTGTAGGTTACCTGTCTGGTTTTTTTTTTGGGGGGGGGGGGGGGGGGGGGGGGTTAGATAGGGACATTTTTACAGCCTCTTTTGAGTGCTGACTTTGCCATCCCTTGATCTACAGGTGTTATCTCTAGAGAACCCATCCAGGGCAGCCACATACAGAATGGTAAACCCTACAGTTGTGAAGGAAAATCTCTCACCCCCGTTTTTTTGAGGGATTTGAACCTTAGACCTTCACACCTTGCACTGCTGCAGCTCCTATGACTAAGATGTAATATTAATTTTTTAGTACATATTAAGCATTGTAAAGACCAGCAGATTTTACTTCAAATAATCTGTATGTGTGTTTGTCTCCCCAGCTTTGTATCCATATCTTTAGGCCTAAGTGCCTGCAATTCATCTGGTCACCTCAGCAATCATGCGGAAGTGGCACCCAACCATGCAGGAATCACCTTTGCAATTTCTAATACTCTTGTGAGTATAATTATATGTTGTTTATGGTTGAATGGTTGAAATTTCCCATGTAACTTCTGGGGCCCTTGTTTCTGTGGTGGAGGGGGGGGGGGGGGAAAACTGCCTACTAGCAAGGAAGTTAAAGGCTATCAATTGGGAGTTTGTTGAAGTAGGAGGTATTTGTGGAGTCAAAAGGCGCAGATGTCACAGCCTTGCTGTAAACCACAACACAAAGCATGCAAATAATCTTTTTCAAGGTAAACACATAATTATAGGGAAAAGAATATTTGAAATGAGAATATTATAATAAATCTGTTTATATAAAATTAGTAAATAGACATCGCCATGTGGGTTGTAGGGCCCCTTTGTGTGTGGGGGGGGGGTGGGATGGACCCACTGCCCTCAAACAATCATGTCATAAAAGGTGACTAATTTATGGGTTTGAAATTGAATGTCTCGGACTGAACAGTGCAGGGATTGCAGCCTAGCTGTAAACCACAACACTCCAGCTGCCTTTTTAAAGGTGAACCCAGAAAAAAAAAATTTTGAAATCAATTAGAAATAATGTGCTGGTGTCACATTATTAGAGATTGGGTATGTGTTTAAATAAGTTACAGTTAGACTCATTTATACTTTTGAAGCAAATTGGGTAGTGCTAAATTTAAAAAGAAATGTATAGTGTCCTGTCCAATGCTTTGAGGTGAAATGGGCCATGCTAAAAAAAAAAAAACTGCTCTGCATTAGTGAATCTGTCGTCTGTACTGTAACACAGCAAATATATGTAACTGTCTGTCTCTCTGTCTGTCACAAGAACGCTTCCCAAACAGTGAACAGTGGTGATGTGACATTTGCGAATGTCATTCTGGCGGCCATTTCGTAGGTCATCTGTGCTGGTTTTCAGCTTTCAACGTTTAAAATTATAATTGTAGTGATTTTTTTAGGTTCAATTTGTGTTTGTAATCAAAGTCAGTTAGGCATAGAGGCATTTACTCTAAGTTACAGTCTAGATTTCATTGACAAGTGCTTCTTACATAGACAACTGTGATTGTGGAATTGTCAAGGGCGGTAGATTCCTCAGCATTGTTCATCCTCGCCAGTGATCAGCAAGACTATATTCACGCATTGAAATAAATTCTTAATAACAGAGTTAATAAAATTAATTATAATGAATAAAGTATGAGTTTGAATATATCCTGGGAAAGCTGGATAATAAATTTCTAGTATAATAATATAATATATTCTGCACAACACTAGTTAATCATTGACCTGTTACTTTTCTCTTCAGGCTACCATACCAGGGATTCTTTGTGGGCCACTGACAGCAGAGCTGGTCACGCAGTCTCACGGCCGGTGGCTGCCTGTGTTTGTGATCGCGGCTGGGGTGAACTTTGTTGGTGCTGTTATATATCTCAGTCAGAGTGCTGCCAGCCAGGTGTTGTGATATCCCCAGTGCTCTACCTGTCAGAAACACCCAAGAAAGCTTCGCAATACCAGCACTGACTTCTTTCACAGCCGGGAGTAAAGATACATTTAAAAAGAAGGTTTTAGTGAAGATTGAAAGGATTGTTTTCATATTGTGAATATTGATACAGTCAATATATTTCTCCCCTAGGTGGGTTCAGGGGCCTTGCTTTTGCAGAAAACAAGAATAGTCCCACTGCCTTCCCAGAAAGCATGTTGTAGGAGTTGACTAATTGGGGGCTTCCATAAAATTTGGAGTGCATCTACCAGTGAGGTAAGGAACAGTCTGCGTACAAATAGGTCAAATTTGTAAAACGAATGTGTATGCAACACTCAGGTGCTGGAACACGACTAGAGTACACAGGTGTATGAACAACCAGAACCTTTCGGCCAGAGTTTGCGGCCTCTGAAAAAGAAGAAGATTTGTTTTTCTCTCTACCCACCAGAGACAGGAAGGTACACCCGTTGCCCTAATTTTATAACTTTTGAGGGGGTCTGGGATTTTTCCATGTTAGATTGGCATTCAGAATGCAACTCTGTGAGTCACAGAGGTGTCATATCTCCATGTAGCATTTGGAGAAGAAAAATAGACCGACAGAACCATAATATTGTTGCGAAGTTTATTTTGGAAAAAACAACATCCTAACTACAGGAAAGGGTGGTGGAAAGGGGGGGGGGGGTTGTGTTTTCTTTGCCTGCGGATTTAGGACTGATTCATTTGGGTACTGTCACCTAATTGGCAAAACTCACATCCTTATCGAAGACCTTGGGCTTCCGCATGAAAGCATTCTCAAAACCCTTCGGCCAGTCACTCTTGCACAGTTTATTACTTAGCATATTTTGATGTGTCTTGAAAAAAGGCATGCTACAGAATTTACATCAGAATATACTGAAGCACAGGATGAAGCCTTTCAACTGAAAAAAAAAACAAATCCTGTAGTCCCTTCTTGGGGGAGAGCGTGTACAGTTCGAAGGAGCAGGTGGATCACCACAGTCTGGTGAGATTGATGCAACGGGAAATGACAAGAGGTTCTGGCACATGCTCCAGGCTCAGAGGAAAGGCAAGACGGATGTTTAATCAGAATGCTTCTGGCACCAATAGTATCGGAACTCTGTGCTGGCTGCTGAAAATGGGGACAGATCGCTTATGGGAATGCCCCGAGTGCTGTGTGATGTCGGGACTTGACTCAACTCAACTCCTGATTGTATCTTTTTTAGTCACTCCTGCAGCCTTTCTCAGACATCTCCTTCCCTTGGTTACTCATTTTTCAGTTCTGATTTGCTGTGAGTGACCATGTCTGGCACTGGTATCATAGAGTAGGAATGAATATGCTTTGTATGAGGTTTTCTTTCTGCTGATCGGGGGTTATCTTATGCTGTTAGTGTCCCAGTACTTGTTAGAATGGTATTACCACGGTGAAGTGTGCTTTGATACAAATGACCATGTGATTTTATGTATTTCATTTCAAAGGTTTTCTTGTCCGACTCGACAGTTGGTTAAAACCCTCTGTGCGGTGACCGGGTGACGCACTCCTTGTGGTCTGGGTTCATGATCAGGGGTAGGCAAAAAAGCCAAATTTTTTCCCAGATTTACGGAACCTATTATCGAGACCGAAGGGGTGCGATATAGTACAGAGCCAAAGGGTTTTACAACTCATGGTTTCTGGATACTTTTAAAAAAAAAGGTTTTCTTCTTTTGCTTCATTACATGTTAATGTAAATTCTATGTATGCACTTTATGAGATACAAGGAAATTTGTCAGGCAATAACTGGTGTAATATATCATCTCTGTCCTCATTATTTACAGAAAAAATATATCTGATGTTCTGTTCAGCAAAACTGCTTGGGAAGATTATCATGGGCAACAAAAGTTTGATGTATTGGTCAAAAGACACGAATATTGCAGCCATGTTGTAAATGGGCACAATGCATTTACATTTTGAATGAATGCAGAAATATAAGAAGAAAATGTTCAGCAAAACAATGTCAGAAAATGACTGAATTAATTGTTCAGCAAAACAATGTCAGAAAATGACTGAATTAATTGTTCAGCAAAACAATGTCAGAAAATAACTGAATTAATTGTTCAGCAAAACAATCTCAGAAAATGACTGAATTAATTGTTTAGCAAAACAATGTCCGAAAATGACTGAATTAATTGTTCAGCAAAACAATGTCACAAAATAACTGAATTAATGTTTCAACAAAACAGTCTCTGAATTAATGTGTGTGTCATAGCTGGATATTGGCAGAAGAAAATCAGAAAACTTTTAAGTCATCTGAGAATTGTGACTACTGTGTTTCTATTTATCACTTAGTTTTTTTAGGGCAGTCTAGACAGAGGGGTTGTGAGCCTGACGATTTAGGGCTAGTGCTGTCACCATAGACTGCAGGCTTTAATGTTTTTTTTTCCCACAACTTGAATTTTGCTTGCACATCCATTTTACACAATGCTTATTTTTATGCAGATTGTTGGTTCCACACCATGCTTTACAGGAGGCAGTGGATCTATCTCTCTTCCCTACACACCTACCCCCCACCCCCACCAAGATTCGTTACATATGTTATTGTTCTTGTTGTTTCATAGCCCATATTTTGGAGCAGAAAGAATAGACTCGCTTCGCTTCTTGCAAACATGTAAAAAAAAGTGATTAATTAGGGGTTTGCTGAAGCCAGATGTGTTGGGCTAAAAGGCGCACTTATCACAGCCTTGCTGTAAACCGCAACGCAGCCTGCCAACTGCCCTTTCAAGGGCGAATGTTGAAGAAGGCATGTTAAGCCTGAGAATTTATAATTGAATGCAATTTTTAAAGCAGGAATTTCCCTCACAGTTGGAGTGCATCTGCCTGAGAGGCAAGGAACTAAAAGTCTGCACACGAATAAGTCACACCTGTAAAATGAACATGCACACAGAATTTAAGTTCTGTAACAGGACCAAAGTCCAGAAGTGAGCAAACAACCAGGACTTTCTGTCAAAGTTTACAGCCAGTGAATGTGAATAAGAAGAAGAAGAAGAAAAGAAGCCAGAACAAGTTAAATGCACCTGCCCGAGCCTGAAAGAGTAAAATATAGTGACTGTACACACTGCATCATACACCGATTATATGAAATGCAATTCTACTGGTAGACTGTTGGTGTTGACACCTCTGGTGTTTTGCCATTTAATGCATTTGGGAGGTGCTGGATTTTTGGGTGGACTGCTGTCTTGTTTGATGTGGTTTTTCACAGTAACAGAAGTTTTGGGGGTGACCCATTTGTTGGCACATGGAACTGCGACTGATAACCTGGCCTTTTGAAATATATTGGCCATAATAAAAGAGGCGATGAGTTGTCTTCGGCTTTATGCATAGTCAGTTATTTAATTGACCAATTATCCTCACTGCACATTGGGCAAGTCCATAACTGCTCAGATCCCATCTTCAGTACATCTGTCAGTGTATTGTGACTGATTAGACCAGTTCTAAATTAGTTTACTATTATTCTACATGTCTGACATCTCTATTTACTTGAAGTTCTTGTTGTCTTTTAATATTGTTGATTCGTCGTCATCTCCTGAACCAGCTACTTGGGCTGCCTCTTTGAGAGCATTGGGAACGTTGGCCCAGTCCACTGCTTTGCTTTGTGTATGCAACTGCATTGCTTTAGAATGTAGCAGTGATGAAAGCATTGATCTGTAGATAAACCATCTTCATTCGCTAACAAAACATGAACAAATGCATCAGAGTATTTTATTTTTCAAAGAGTAATAAATCAGTATGATAGAACTTATGTGAGTCATGTTATTTAAAAATATGTTTGTAATCTGAAGAATTGACATCCTGTGACTCAAAGAGCCAGTTCTTGGATTGAGAATTCAACAGTGTAAATCCTAGAAAGCCTGTTTACTTGTATAAAACCATAATAGATTGGGGGGGGGGGGGGGGGGGGGGGGGGGGGGGGGAATCCTGCATTTACAGAGTGACCTGCTATCCTCGGGCTGGGGATTATTAAGTAACAGACCTTATAAAAGTTACTAGAATATTCATTATAATATTTTTGTGTGGTTTAGCTCTTTCACCCTGTAACAATCTTGATAATGATTTTGTTCAACATTTTCATCATAAAGAAATGCCTCCTTAATAATTATCTGAAACACTGCCATAAGAGACTAGAGGAAAAACAAAGCAATATGAAATTTGGAGTCCTGAACAGTTATCTTTTAAAGACATCCACGGTCCTGACCTCTAGACCACCAGAGAAAGAGGTGAGAGCCAAGTCCACAGCAATTTTGTGGCTGTCAGATCACTAAAAAAATTCATATACATTTTTATTATTGATTTATCTGTGCACAAATTTGTTAAAATAAGGGAATTAATCTCCAAATGCAAACGGAGCAAAGAATTAGCTGCTTTCCTTCCCTTTGATGATGATAAACCTGATTTTGTCAACTAAGCTGCAAAGAGCAAAGGGATGTCATATGAGATAATTGCGACATAAATGATATCACAATTAAAAAAAAGAAAGAAAAAGTGTTCGTTGCTCCTAATATCTCAAATTTTTTGAGGCGATGAACATAGTCATACAACCATATCTAGAAACCATGCATTTAAACCAATGGTAGCTAGGTAGGTAGTTGTACTCCCACAGGACATCACACAAGCGATAAACACCCAGTAACACAAAGTGCTACCATGCGGATGAGGATCACCTGTAGAGAGATACCAGAAACCCCTTCCAACCATTTAGGCCAAATCTTGGGCTAGGCCATATTTATGGCCCGGCTGTATTCAGGGCCCCCAGGTGTATCCATCACTTTGAATAACCCAGTATTTTCACTCAACTACACAATCATCATTGGCCACATTGTCATTTTTCAGAGAGATCTCAGTGTTCAGATACAAGTTTCTCAAAAACAAGGATTTAGCATTAGATGACTTTGGTCTATCTGCTGTAATTCAGGGCTTTTCAACTAAGTTTACTCAGGGGTCCAGGATGTTGAAA